CATACCGGCACCGGCTTTCATGAGCGCCGCCATATCAAATGCCACCGGCTGCTTATAGGGTTTGTAACCTACCGATGAAATAGCCAGCTGAAATTGTCCCATCATGGGCAGTTCTTCCAGGCTAAATTCTCCATTGGCTTGCGTAGTCGCCCCTTTGACCAGCACTTCTTTTCCGTCCTTGGTTTGTAACAGTACTACGGAAGCCATATCCAGCGGCTTACCCGTTTTACTATCAATCACCTTACCATATATCTTGCCCATCTTCGGCACCCCGCCGCCCTTCATGCCGCCCATTGCTCCGGGCATCTGTGCATTTGCAGCGGATAAACCAAGACATACAAGTAAAAGAATTGTAAAAATGTTTTTCATAACGGCTGCAAAGGTACAGGAAGGGCTTGCATCTATATGATCTTTATTTTGATAAGGATTTGTAAAAGTTTGTATCGTACCGCCGTCATCAACAGTATTGTTATCCCCCTTTTCATCCCCCTGCCCGCTTGCGGAAAACGGTCAAATAAAATAGGTTCCGGCAATCATCTTCCAGTATTTTTGCAGCTCCATGCTCGTTTTCCCTCATTGCAAGATCAATCTTGGCCTGTTTGTCACCCATCGCCGTGCAGATGGCTACCATGACCTGGAAACTATTTTTTACCCCGTGCGGGAATTGAAAGATGCCCTGGAAATGGTGCCTGCAAAAAATGGAGAAACCAGTCTGCACCTCAGCGGCAAAGCCGTAGCCGGACCAGCGGACAAAAACCTGGTGTACAAAGCATGGCAATTATTAGCGGCCCGTTTCCCGGGTAAGGTGATCCCAATGGAAATATATCTCCATAAAATCATCCCGATGGGTGCCGGTATGGGTGGCGGCTCTTCCAATGGCGCTGTTGCACTTAGGCTGATCAATGACCTGTGTAAACTGGAACTGACGGATCAGGCGCTGGCTGAAATGGCCCTGGAGCTGGGCTCTGATTGTCCTTTCTTTATTTATGACACGCCACAGTTTGCCACCGGGCGGGGAGAAAAGATGGAACCGGTTGCCATTGACCTCTCCGGTTATAGCCTGCAGATCATCTGTCCGGATA